GGTATCATCAACCACCATCATCCCCCCCGCTTCCCTCGCCTCCCCCCGCACCCGGCCGGCGCGCTGGGAACACGCCAGAGGTGACAAAAGAGCCTGGGAGTGCGGGGACAGCGTGTCCCACCCCCAGACGTTGGCTCCCCCCAGCCCCGGCATCGCTCCCACGCTACTGAACCTTGAGCCCGGGGGCCGCGGGGGGAGCGGGAGGGTCGGGATCCAGCGTCGCAAGCACCGCGACAGGGGGGCAGTGAGGGGGGAAAAGGGGAACGGGAGGAACTATCGAGGGTTTGGGGGCCGCTGACTTGCCATATATCAGCAAATCCCTCAGCCCCGGCTTGGGGGGGGGGGGGGCGGGTGTATTTTCGGGCTGCCTCCCCCCACCTTGCCGCCTGGAGGAAGTTATGGCTGGAGTGGAGCGGAGCGGGCGGGAAGGTATTTTTATTTTAGAGGCAAGCACTGCAAGAGGGGGGTGGCTCGGGAACTGTCCTGTCACGGCAGCTGCTGGAGAGACCTGTGCTGGCTAGCCCAAAGCTCTACCCACCGAGCCAGGGGACACGGCCCGGGGCCGGCCCTGCGAGCCCCGGGGCAAGGCAGCCCCCAGGTAGGGACCCGCTCCTTCACAGGGGGGTTTGGGTCCCCACTTTAAGGCCCTGTAAGGGTGAGAGTAGACCCCCATCACCCTGAGGGAGAGGGGAGGCAGCTCACACTGCACAGGGACGGGGAAGCTGAGGCACGGAGCCAAAAGGTGCAATTCCTCCCTGGCTTGGAGGAGTTTAAATCCGTGTGGGGCTCGAAGCTTGCAGCATCTCCAGCTCCCGGGTAATCAGCATCCAGACAAGAGGAAACAACCTCAAGATGGTCCAGGGGAGGTTTAGGTTGGATATTAGGAAGAATTTCTTCACTGGAAGGGTGGTCAGGCGTTGGAACAGGCTGTCCAAGGATGTGGTGGGATCACCATCCCTGAAGGTGTTCAAAAAACACACTCTGGGGTTGTGGTTTAGTGGGGGGTTTGGCAGTGCTGGGTTAACAGTTGGGTTTAATGATCTCAGAGGTCTTTTCCAACCTCAAGGACTCCATGATCTCTACAAACCACCTTTGGGGTCTCCTTCTCAGCTTCCAGCATCCCCAGCAGAGGAAGGGAATACTAGGAGTCCTAGGAAGGGGCTGGGTTGGGTTGTGGCCTCCGTTATTTCAGGATGGGCAAACACAGCTCAGCCAAGAGCAACTCAGCACAGCGTCAGCTCCACCCCCCTGCCCAAATCTTCCTCCAAATCCATGTGAGATCTGGGGAGAGCTCACACTGGGGCCAACATCCCTGATCATCTCCTGAGCTGCCTTTAGGGTCAGGGGAGACAAACAAGGCAGAGAACCCCAGATTTTATAAATACCTCCCCGGGTTGTCTGGTTTGGGGTGAGATGATGCATTCCGGCCTCCGGAGGGTGGGATCTCCGGGACGAGCAGCCCTCGGGTCAGCCCAGCTTTGCTGTAGCACTGCCTGCCAACAAAAAGGCTCCTTAGCGTCATTTTTGACCCGGTGAGCGCAGAGAGAGGCTCTCCTTGGCCACGGCTGTGTGGCCAACACTTTCAGCACCGAATGAGCCACTTAAATTTGCCGCAATCGGGGCGGGATTCGGCCCCTCAGATGCCCCGGAGCCCCAGCCTGTATCCTGCATCCTGTATCCTGCTGCAGCTCCAGCCCTGCCCGGGGACTTGGCTCCCGACCTTGGCATAATTGACTGCGTGCTTAGAGGCGAAGTAATTAAAAGATCGGTGCAGATAAGCACGGGGACACAATTCCTCACGCTCCCTCTGCCTGCGGCAGGCCGGGAAGGGTTTATGGCCACATCCAGGAGCCTCAGCAGGAGGGAAAAATCGTGTCTCTGGATGCAGAGGGACATCGGCTCCCTGCAGTGTGGGGAGATACAGGGAGGACACGAGGAAAGGGGCACCGGGGACTGACAGATCTATGTCACCCCTCTGGCTCCCAAATGGGCTCAACCCCCATCCCAATCCATGAATTAGAGAAAAACACCCCCCAAATCCTTTTTTTTCGGAGTGTTCGCTCTGCCGGGGGCACAACGAGCCCGTTGTGTGGCCGCGGGGATGGAGGGGGGGATCTCGGATTCGTGGATGTGAGGGATTCCAGGAGGGCTCCCGGGTCACAGCCTCATCGTGCTGCTCTCTTTGGGCATCCACGGAGTTTCAGGCCAACGATAAATTTTAATTTATTTTTTTTTTAAACCCGAGTAACTTTTGATCTTGCTCGATCCAAAATGCAGCACCGGTGAAGGGCTGGGCAGAGCTTTTTCATAAGGCTTTGGGAACTGCAGTGTTAAAAATCATTCGGCTTTAATTTGTACATATTTTTAAAAAAATTAACCGACCCCCCTCTTGATTTCTAATGTAATGATTTATTTTTAATGCAACCAGCCTGTCTCCCTCAGCACAGGTGACACCTCTGTGTTTTACTGCCTCAGTGTTTACAGCTTTGAGATGCTTTAAATGGTGTTTTTTCAAACATTGGGTGGGTTGCTGGAAGTTGTGGCACAGGACCTGAGGCCAAGCCACTCTTTAGTGCCCGAGAAAGTGAGTGGGAAGGTGGTGGAGGGGGTTCAAGGAAAAGTGCTTGGCTCTGTCCCAGTGAGGCATGGTATGAGCTGGAGATGTTAATGGGGACACCAAACAAACCTCCTGGCTGCTGGAACAGATCTTTGGATGGGAAGGAGAGAGGGTTTTAATCATAAAATCCTAGAATGGTTTAGGTTGGAAGGAACATTAAAGTTCCTGTAGCTCCAATCCCTCCTGCCATGGGCAGGGACACCTTCCACTGACCTTGGACACTTCCAGGGATGGGGCAGCCCCAGTTTCTCTGGGCAACCTGTGCCAGCACCTCACCACCCTCAGAGGGAAGAATTCCTTCCTAATATCTCATCTAATCCTGCCTTCTTTCAGTTTAAAGCCATTTTGCCCCATCACTCCATGTCCTTGTCAAAAGTCCCTCTCCTGCTCTCTTGTTGGTCCAACATGGATTGTCTTCTGCTGCCTTAAGTTGTTCCATTGAGTTCCTCACACAGACATGTCACTGGGAACGTGTCAACCCCACCAGGACCTCAGCAGGCATCCTCCTGCCAGCAGGATGGCTCAGGAGAAAGGAATGTGTCCCCCACCCACTCATCCAAGGTCCCTCTCAGGACCCCTCCCAGCACCCCCAGAATGGCTCTGCCCATCCCTCGTGGCCCACATCAACTCCATCAGTGGTCCCAGGACCTCCTGCCACCCCAGGGAAGGACTCTGAAGGAGGCTCCCACCACCTCCTCCCACCCAGCATCAGGTCAACCCTGACTGCCTTCAGCTCCTCTCCTCACAATCCCCTTCCATTTCCCCAAAAAAATGCCCCAGTTAGGTCAATGCCAGGCTGGAGTGACCCCCCATCCCTTGCTGCCACAGTGCATCCCACAGACCACTCTCCTCCCTGACAAATGAGCTGCTCTGAGCCCAGGGCTGTGGATGGTTTGGGAGCTGTAAGTGGACACTCCAGGGACTCAGGTGGCATTTGTGGAGTGAGGCCACCCTGTCCCATGGGAGCAGCCATCTGGGAGCTGGGCTGGGAGGGGAGAGGATGAAGGGAGAAACCCAACACCCCTCTTGGCTCAGCCATGGCTTAATTTAGAGCACAGGGGCTCTGCTCTTTTTCCATTTAAAGCTGAACCTCATTCCTTTTATCCTCCATGGGATGAGGGCCCTGTGGCTTGCAGGGCAGTAGCAGCTGCTGGCTGGGGCTGTGGAGGGGCTGGCAAAGCATCTTCCAGCTCAGTTCCCCTTTGCCACCAGCTTCCTCCCCATTTCATCCACGTGAGGGACTGAAATCTGTCTCCTCCTCACACCTCTGTCCTGCTCTGGAGCCTTAGGAACGAGCCATCCACAAGTCAGGGCTCTAAACTGGAGCTGTTACAGTGGGATCAGCTTTGTCCCACCAGCTGATCCTCTGCCCCTTGTCCAAGTGGATCCCAGGGCAGGGAGAGCTCTCCTGTGTCAATACATCTATATTTAACCACCCTGATGCAACTTAATTCACGTTACAGCCACTTTGGAGAGCTCTTCACAGGTGAACACCTGGCACAGGCCCAGAGGAAAACGATGACAATTCATCAAAGATCATTTATTCCCAGGGGTTCAGCTGTTCTTTAAAATGGGATGCATCCATCAGGCACTTCATGGCTAATTTATGGGAATGCCCTGCCCAGCTCCAGGGCAAGATAAAACCTCCAAGTGCTTGGAGGACTCGTATTTGGAGTTAAAAGGTGGCCAGATCCTAACAAGGAGTGTCCACAGCCAAATATTTGCAGCAAAATTAAGCTTAACTGTATCCATTAGCCCGTGCCAGGGGTGTCACCTCCAGCCTGTCACCACCTTCAGCTACAGTGAGAGACTGAAAAAACTCAGAGCTTATCAAAAAGCTGCCTGTGACACAACTTTTCACTGGATGAAGGTTGTCCCAGCGAGGAAAAGCTGGGGACTCACACTGCTTTTATCCAAAAGAGGGTTAACAATGGCTGGCTGAGAACTGAAGCCAGAGAGATCCAGATGAGAATGAAGCACGGGATTTTAACAGGAGGAAAAAGAAACACTCAAACTTCCAAGGAAAGCAGGAGGGTGTGGGGGGTTTCATATAAAGCCCAGCTACATCCCTAAAAGAATTGTAGCTCAAACAGCACATCCAGTGTGCCAGAGAGATCCCAGGATTGAGGACCAGCACCAGGGGGTTTTCCAGGCAGGGAAAGAATATTTTCACTGATTTTGTTCTCTGAGTGACGGGTTGGGATACATGGGGCTGCTGCTGCTTCCAAAGTCTGCCAGGGTTTCTTATATTCAGCAACAAAATGACATGTGCTGCAAAGAAAATGGGTCTCATACCTTGAAAGCTGTGAACCAGTTGCTGCAAGAGTCAGCACGGGGAAAATTCAAAGGCAGGCCACTCTGTGGAAGTGCAGAGGCAATTTATTTCAAAATGAAGGTGAAAACTGAGAAGCCCTGGACAATCTGGGCTGTGTTCAGGCCCCCCCCACTACATGATGGTAGATTGCACATTTCCATGAGAAACAGCTACTTACAGGTACAGGCTCTCTAAATAAACTGGTTTATAGTGGTTTAATTCCTTGTCAAGGCTCTGTGTGTGCATGTGTGCAGAGGAAAAAAAAAGGGAAAATGGTTCTGAGCAACCCCAAACAAGCATATGTTTAAAGAAATGAGTGTTGCAGCACTTGAAAAAAAGGTCTGCAGCGTGTGCTGGTGAGCCATATGTGTTCTGTAACATCCCAGCTCCTTCCCTGTGCTCCATGGGCTGATTCAGAGCCATTGTACTGGAGAGTGGTTTGATTCCCACTGCTTCACTGGGACAGGAGACAAGGAAGGAAGGCAGATTGCTCTGCTCCACTGCTGGGAAAATATTATGGATTCACACTCCATGTAAGGATTACACACTCCTGTGTAAGCGAAATCAGAATCTCCAGCTGCCCGGATTTAGCACAGCACAGTCTCCACAGCCCTGCCCTGGCTCAGGCAGCTTTTCAAGGGGATCTGCCCACTCCTGCAGGTCCTTAAAATATCTGCCAGAGGTGGGATGATTTCTTCCCCTTCACATAATCATCAGGATGGAGCTGAACAGGAACAAAGCACAGCTCACTTGGATGAAACTGTGCCTCTTTCTCTCTCTCTCAACCCAGGATTTATTCCTCAAGTTGTCCAGGGACGATCACAGGTTGCAAGATGCTTTATCCTCTGATGCAGCTGGCAGGGTGAGGAAGGAAAATGTGGCAATGAAGTGTTTTGGTCCTGCTTTTTGCAAGAGAGGCACCTGACAGCTTTGCTGAGCTATAGGGCAGTGCTGGGGGAGTAGGGTAGGGCTGGGAAGTACAGAGAGTAACTCCCAGGAGCTGAGTTTAAACTCAGCTCCGTGACTTCCTCCATCAGGGACTCCATGAGCTGTCTGAAAAGAGACATCTTTGAATCTAAGCAGGAAAAAAAGGCAGGGACAACACACCTGGAGTGAGTCCTGCTCTGCACTTTTTCACTCTGCACAAGGGGAGTCAGGATGAGATCCCTGTGCTGGGGAAGGGAGCACAGGGAAGGGGAGTTTTTCTCCACGAAAATCCACTTTGCCCTGGTGGTGTTGTCTGGGTTTAAAGCCTCACAAACTTCAGGCTCAGAGAAAGAGGCTGACAAAGCAAAGCAGAAAAAGAAGAGCTTTCAAGACTTTCAGCTGAGAAACAAAAGCAGCACTATACAAAAATGACTGGCTCTCCATTTGCCTGGAATCCCCAAGGCTGCTCTCCCTGGCAGGATGCGTGTTAATGCCTTATTAGCTTGCACTCCGTGTTCTCACTGTGCTGCAGGAGAGAAGGACAGAGCTGGCAGGGCTGGCAGCACCCCCAGAAGTCCCAGCACTGCTGCAGTGAGGACCTGCCTGTGTTTTGTGGCATTTCTTCCCAGAGAGAACAAGATCTGCCTGATGGATGAATGCAGAGACCCAGAAATAGGGAATTCATAACCTGGATGGTGAATTTGGTGAGGAATGGGCTGAGTTTAAGGTAGGTCTGACTCATTGCAGGGGTGATCTGCACAGTGTAGCTTTTCAGTGGAAACTCCACTGAGTTTCAGAAACCTCTTCAAGCAAAGAAACAGGCTGGAATGGTGAGTGGAGCCACCCCAAAATTCACTTGCAGACATTCACAGGCCAGGCTAACCCTGTCCCTCAGCACTGAAGTGCTGCAGAAAGCCTGAGACAGACAGGTATCAGGGTGCTGATAAAAACAGAACTCAGTTTGTTCCAAGGAAGGGGGCTGGACTAACTTTTGTACAGCAAATTCCTTCCTGAGCTGATAAAGGCACATTGAATATTCCCTCTCAGGGAACATTGTGTTGAAACCAGAGAGGTTTTGCCCAAAATCCCACTGAGGATTTGCAGCTTTCTAAGTGCACCAACTCCAGCCTGTGCAGCCCTGCTTGCCAACTCACAGACAGAATCTGCTGACACATGAAACCTCTACTTTTTGTATTTCATCTCTGTTTCTCATCCTCTCCTGTAAATGCTGAAGATCTGAGGTTGCAAAACTACACTGCCACTGCTCCAATTCCCAGGCACGATGCCTGGGCTCTCTCCTTGCTCTGCAGCGCAAAGAACTCAGGATATCTCCCTTAACTCTTCTCCTGTTTCTGCTGCTCAATGGCCTGTAAAAAGATTTTCTTCACTTGCTCCATTGTGTCTTGATACAGTTTCAAATCTTCCTCTTTCTTTCTCACAGTCGATTCCAAAGCAGCCTGCAGAGCTTCGTTCTCAGCCAGCTGGGTCACAAGCCTAGGAGGAAACAAAGGGAAAACTTTCCTGTGAGCTGTGGAGCTCCAAAGCAAATCAAAACAGCTCTTCTGTTTTGGGGAAGAGACTCTTCAACATGAGATCTCTGGTGATTTTTTTGTGACAGGCGTGAGAAAGAGCAGAGTTAACGCTTGTTCCCTCCCTTTTTGAGGTGGGAAAGGGTAAACACAGCTTGGAGAGAGGGAAAACTCACCTCATGTTCAGCTCCTCTCCCTGTGATTCCAGGGGCAGCTGGGACAGGGGGAATGCAGGGAGCTCCTTCCTGTCACTCACATTTAAGGGAAGTCTTGAGTGATCCACAGACTGGACTGTAGAATTAATCACAAAATAGAGTTTTAGTAAAACAAGCAATTGTTTTTAATGAGTAAATCTCAAGAAACAGTGAACAAATACTAAGGAATTCATTAAATTCTACGTATATCCATGATAATACTGTAAATATATAGGACAGACTTTTATTTTAGTCTCCTTTCAGCAAAATAAAAACATGATGAATTTGCATTTCAGGGCTAAATGCAGTAATACAGGTGCCTACATGTGTAGAGAGGAGAACAACTAATCCATAATATTAAAGCGAGAGGGAAATAATTAATCCATAATATTTAAAGTGACCAAAACAATAAGTGACAAGGAACAGCTGAAAAGGATTATTTTGGTGTTAACCTTGTAATTGTGTTTCAGATGCTGACAACTGTTGCTTCCTGAGTGTCTGTGACAACATTTGCACGTGGTACATTTTGAAACAGCTTTTGTAAAGCACTTTGACCCTCAGCATAAACACAACAAGTTAAATGTGTGCTTCAAACTAAGGTTCTAAATTTGTTTAGGATTGTCCACCCCAAAGATGCAGCTCCTGTTGTTTCAAGGGGACACAGAAACTTTTTTCAGGGTTATAGAGAAAATATAATTCAAAAAATATGATTCAAAATTTACTACTGGGACTGGAGAAGCCAAAACAGTGTGATTCTACTGTACATTGCAACTGCTGTTTTGTGCTTGTGTGGCTGGTTTGGTGCACTTCTGTATCACTTTTCTGAATTCACATCCCTCAGAACATCAAATCTCTTCAAATAAGTAAGTTTGGTATTAGAGCACTAAATGTGGAATATCTAAAAGGAGCTGGTTGGAAACTCCTGAGCTCTGACAAAAACAAAGCAGAAGAAAAGGTTGTGCTGTGTAACCAAGAAATGCTTTTGATCTTGGGGCTGTGTTTTGCAGGGCTGAGGAAAACCTGCTGTTACTTACCTGTCCTCCTCTGGGATAATTCTTTGATAATTTGGAATTTGGATAAGACAGGTAAAAAAACCCCAAACATGGAAAATGAAAAGCCTGAATAATTTTAAAACACAACTGGGTTGTTTCTACCTACTTAGCATCATTATCTACTTTCCTTGAACTGGAGAGACTAGAAACATTAGATTAGCAATTAGATCAGCTCTCCCTAATTTGGCACTTTCAGAAAGAAAAGAAACTGTGATGTTAATTAGCAGGTTTTCTAGTCTCTATTTTATATTCAAGCTTTTCATTTCTTCTTATTTCCTCAACTCTCTGCCATGAAAGCATTCAGATAACCCCCATGCTCTTCTGAAGAGGTGAATTACAGACTTGCAGACTCAGTTTTTGTACAAACTCCAGAAAGTTTTGGCACATCACAAGGGGCTGAGCTCTCATCAAAGCAGGGTAGTGAAGCAGATTGTTACCCACTCATCTTATGGATTTAGAGAGGATTTCTTATTAGTCTTACTGCCAATCCTTTTTTACTTTTGCTTTTAGTCCTTAAGCAGAGAAGATTAATGAACTAAATATTTAGTGAGAGGGAATCTGTCACGCTGCTAAGAGCTGCTGCTTCCTCTGGCTGTGAAATGCCAACCACCAGAGGTGAATTACCTTATTACACCACAACAACCTGACTAAAATGGCTCAGGACCTCAAAGTTTATCTCTTTATCTCTTGGAGGTTTAAAGGAAAAATATACATGGAGCACACCTATGATGACAGAACAACACATCAACCCTTCATCGGGTTGTACAAAAGTCTGAGCACTCAAAAACTCAGTTAAATTCTCCAAAAGACAGCACCAAAATGCTCCTATGCTGTTTAATCAGGAAAAAGTGTATCACTGAGAGCTGTATTCCCACAAATCTCTCCTGGCTACTACCAGTCCCTACACACACCCTGATTTCTTCCTCTGGGGCATCTGCAGGGCTCCAAAGCCTCTCACCTCCAAATCCTCCTGGGAATCACAAAGGGCATCCCATGATATGAGTTCTGTGAGGCCCAGCACTGCTCTCTTACCAAGAGGAATGTCCTGGATCCAAGAGGCCACAGCACTTTGGTTTTAGACCCTTGGTTTCTGTGGGGATCTAAGTTTTTCTGCTCTCAGGCTCTCAGTTAATACAGGTAAGGCAACTCTAAAAAAATTAGTGCTCACAGGAAAACACATGAGAATGAGTCAGTGTGGCCTGGAACTCTTTCTAAGGGCACAACAATCCTGCTCTAAGGAATGTTTTACAGAGAGGAGCTGGTGTGAAGCACTTACTCAGTCCTCATTCAGGATAAAGGCTGTGGTCCCTCTGGTCACCCTAACTCAGCCTGACACCACCCCAACATTTGCCCAATTGAAATTCCCCTTCCTGCTGTTCATCTCCTGGCATTTAAAGCTTTTTTACTTCATGAAAATAGACATTAAAAGGCAAACCACTGGAAAAGTTTCCTTAAGAATATGTGCCATTTTATTGGTTTAGACACTTTACAGAATCAGAGTCCTTAAGCAATAAAAGGACCTGATCAGGGAAATAAAAATTTTAACATCCACCATGAATTCTTCTCCTTTAACTATGCCAGTGAGGCTTTCATATTTATAGCAGGAGATTATCACGTTCACGGGATAATAAATTACACCAGATCTAATTACTTCATCACCAGCACCAGTTTTTCATGGGCACTGACAGGCCTTAAATTGGGATGCGTCCTTTAATCCTGCTCTTAACCTTCAGCTGGATCCCGCAGGCAGAAGAGCAAAGGGAGCACAGAAGTGGCTGTGGGGGCAACACAGAGCAGGAGCAAGTCTTTTTTGTTTTTTTTTTATCTGGAGGCTGTCACCCCACGTTGCAAAAATCCTGTTCCCACTTAAATCTGTTGCAAAACCCCTCCTGAATTAAGAGGGGCTGGGATTTTCCCTCCTGTGTTGTTCCACTGGATCTGGGCAGGTCCCGGGCACCACGTGCAAGGTCAGGCCCTTGTCTGGGTTTGACAGATGGAGCCCAAATGTTGTTCCTGTCTGCTAACACAGAGGTGAAATGGGGGGCAGAGCTGTGGCTGAGTGTTCCACCTCACCTGTTCCGCTCCTCAGGGGTGGTTTCTGTCCTGTTGTGTTTTTCCCTGGATCCGTTTGCAGCTTTTCAAGCTCCTGTTCCAAAACGACACTTTGCCACTGCTGTTTCTGAAGCCTCTTCTCAGCTTCCCAGACTTTATTGCTGCTTTCCTCCACCCTGACAGGCAAAAAAAAAAAAAAAAAAAAAGGGAGTTCAGTTTATTTATGTCGAGTCTATGTCAAATCAGTCCTGGTGCTGAATCCTGCTTCATGCTGCAAAGCTCCCAACAGAGGGAAAAGGGTTTTCCATGCATCCCAAAGGCAGAAATCCCAGTGAAATTGTTTCATATGACATCTTCCAAACATGCAAAACAGAATTAAATGATGTGTACAGTTAGAAATAATGTGTTTGTAATTGGAGCTTGCTTAGATCCCATAGATCCCTTAACTTTTGTGAGTTCACCACTGGGATGAGCGGGAAAGCTGTGGATCGCTGAGGAGGGATCTTTCAGTACAGGAATAACAAACAGCATTTTTTTTAAGCACTCTGGGAAAATCTGGAAGGAAAACAGTTTATAGAAGCACTGTGCAGCATTTAGCTGGTTTGTGTCAGTTATCTGCAGGGAAGAAAAGGAACTTGATGTCGCTTTTAATAAACTTGGCCGTGGAAGGGAGTGAGTGGAAAAGAAACGGATGGTTCACTCTGCAGAGCAGCACAGGGGAGCAAACTGCCTCTATTCACCCCACACATGATAGAAAATTAACTGCAGAAGTCTAATGTGCACCCACAGACACAGTCACTGTGAGGCAGTGACTGATAGCAAGTGCTTTAAAGGAGTTTAAAGTTGGAGAGAAACACAAATTGCCTCACTGCAACGTGCAGAATAAAAGAATTCCCTTCCTGAGCCCACGGGGGATGCTGATTACTCTCTGAACCAAGAGATTTGATTAGTTTATTTCACTCCCAGCTGACATAACTAAAAAGAAAAAAATAAATATTACAACTCTAATAAAATTATATCACTGTCTTAAAAATCCAGCTCCGGGCAGGACTCGACCTCCTGTGGAAGTGAATTCCCAGGCTGGGGACGTGCCACGAGATGTTTTATTTCTTTCAGTGGCTCTGAATTCACTAAACTTTCATCTGACCAGGTGTTCCTATAGCATCCACATTAGACAAAAAGAGGAGGAAAAATGACAAGATTACTTGTTTTTTTAATTACATAATTTGCCAACATGAATAACTTAAGCCAAAACGCTGTAGAAAAATCCCACTTTTCACCCTCCTCTGTGCCCTTCTCTTGATTTCAGAATTTTCTGTGTTACCTGAGCTTTGTTACACTCCAAAAGAGGAGGGAAAAGGAGGAATGCCTGATTTATTTGGTTATTTTTTACTTATATTGATGTTGAAATCTGACTGGGTGCTATATTATCCAAGAGTTATTGCACACAGTCTCACAAAATTTATGTTACCTGCTTGATAAATGTGTGATAACTGTGGAGCTGCTGAATCATCAGTCTGTGATGCATTTTACTGTGCATTTCATCAGCTCTCTTCTTCCTTATCCCACAGTGGTGCTGGCCCCATCTCACCCATCACACCTGCATCCTTATATCTGATTGCAAAGCTCCGTTAAAGTCACTGGGCTTACAAACATGAAAAAGATTTTCCCACCATGTATTTGCAGGATTTGGCCCTTAAAAGCATCTTTTCTAAGGTTCTTAAAAAAATATATGTATTTTTTTCTGTGATTAATCACACAGGGTAAAAGTTAGACAAGTGAGAATGATGACCATTGTCAAATAAAGCAAGTAAGCAAACTGTGCTTATTGTATTAACAAACACACAGACAAAAATATGCTTCCTATTTTAGGATACAGATTTGGGAATCAAAATAACACACATTCCCTAACTGGGGGGCAAAAAAAAAAAATAGCAGTAGCTGAAAGGTGTCCAAAGAGAAAAGACTTTGCTTCCCTTGTCCACCTAAAACATAGTTGGCTTTTAACATCATCTTACATCAAAGTAAATAATAGAAAATGAAATTTCAAATAAAAATCAATGCTATGCTTCAGTTAAACCAGAAGAAATTAATTCAGGAAAGTATACAGTGAAACTTAAAAAGAATGGGAGAAGCTTTGGAACATAAGTCAGATTACAACTATAATTACAGTATTTACTACTGATGAATAATGTTGCTGCCTAAATAATTCCATGAATGTATAAATACAGGAATGCTAGTTTTATCTTGGTGCAGCAAGCTTGAAGATGGCTCTGTTTTTTTCTGCCCTTTGTTCTAAAAGGATAATAAAAGAAATGAATCATCAGCCAGGCAGGGAAAATTGAGCAGAAAAAAAAAAAAGTAAAAGCCCCTATTTAAGGAAAGGATCCCATTGTACCCATGTGCTGTGCTGCATGTTAGAGACTCTGAGTGTTCCCAAATCACAGGATCCCACAAAGGACAGGCAGGATCAGGCTCTACCTTTTCTGCAGCACAGTCATCAGTGCCAGGAACGTGTCCCTCTCCACCTCAGCAGCCTGGCACAGAGCCCCGTGCTCCGGGAGCTGTGTCTGCAGCACCTTCCTCTCTGGAATGTCGGTGCCAGGGAGCCTGAAAGCAGCACAAGCACAGAGAGGCTGTTTCCCATTCCAGAAATGAAAGACAAGAAACAAAGGCAGGATTTGAAAGCCATATCCAAATACACTTGTCTGAAGGTTCAGCCAGAAGGCAGAGCCAGGCTCGCTACCCCAACCCCCCCAGCAGCATCAATGTCTGGACTATAATAAATAGAACAGAAATATTTGGAAATAAAGCCCCTCTGAGTTTCATTAGAAAGGGGTTTCCAGGATGCTTCCCTTTCCCATCACCCCCAAAAACCAAACTTCCACCTCTGATCAACTCATTATCCCTGACTCTCCTCCCACTGCTCCTGCCAAAGAGGATTCTATCTCCAAAGTGCTACACTCAGCTATTAAATGCCCTGCTATTGATTTTCTCCCTCTGAAAGGCTTCAGGCAGCACTACTACAATGGCTGTTCTTGTGCCCAACATGTGATGAAAGGAAAGGGCAGTTTTCCCATGTATCCCATTATTATGCACTTCATTACTTCTCTGACCTCTCTGCATTCAGGGGTATCTCCTTCACAACAAAAAAGCAAGAGAAATCTTGGTGGTTGGGAGTAAAAATGGGGGGAAAAAAATGGATTTATGTGGTGTCAAATCAGCAATCAATTAAAAAATTAAGATAGCAAGAAGATGTTAGAGCCTGTGCCAAAGCTCTTGGGCAGTATCAGGTAGGAAGGATGGTAAAAGGAGCTACTTCTTCCAGAAACAAGGCAGAAAAGGACAAGGTTTGCCAGCAGCCTGTGGCGTGTGGTGGGACACCTCTTGCTGAAGATGAAGTTCATATCCTTACCCTCCAGGTGGGATGTCATCCCTAAGAAGGGAAGGCCTCGTGGCTGCTGATTCCACAAGCGTGTGGCCCATACTGGACACTGTGCTGAGGGGAGAAGAGCTTTTTCAGGCAGTATTCCAAGAACTCCTGTCATTTCCCAATGTCTGTGGTTATTCCCACCTTGTAGGGAAGAGCACTCCCAGCTCTCACCTTCACCCAGGTGACTGTGCCCCTCTGATTGTGTTTTTATGTCACATACTTCCACAACCAGATGAACTCCTGCTCTGCAACAAGGTCCACAACTTGCATTTCCAAATGCCCTTTAAAAATACACTTTTCTGAACCCTTCTACTCTGTGAAAACCCTCATGAAGATGTGTCAGAGTGAACTGATAACACTGGAGTATCACTTCCACTCTGGATGAGTTTTATACCCAATGATATGTGTGTTTGGGACATCAAATTTTGGTGTGTGCTTGTTTTCTCAGTATGAGCTTAGCTGCCTAAAGGCAAGTCCCTGTAGGCTTAGCCCAGGTTTCCTTGTCTTTAGGCTGCAGCTAACAAGAGGATAAAGCCTTAATATTGAGGAAAAGGCAGAGCTGCCTCCTAGGCTAGGAGTGGTTAATCCTAAAATCAAATTGATAATGACAGACTTGGCCCAGTCTAAAAATGCAGATTTTTTTACTTCACCCTCTCCGAGGGGCTTCAGCTCCTATTTATAGCATTTTTCATTTCATCTTTCCTGATAGGAAAAGATGATTTACTCCAGTAAAACAGAACAGAGAGTTCATCAGCATATTAAAGTTAATGGAAGGAGTGAGCCTTGCTGACCAAGTTATTAAGAGCTCTCACAGCTTTCAGGATCATTCATTGCCCACCTGACACGTCAGCTCTTTCCATGGCAGGGCCTTTAGCCACGTCCACAGGCAATAATTTATGCACTGCACTTAGTGGCTTCTGCAAAGCCATTACCCAACCTCCTTTTCCTGCTTACCATCAGCAAACATATGAAGTAAAAAAAAAAAAAAAGAGGGGATAAAATATAGGTTTGCTCCATCAGAGCCCAACAACTTCTGCAGAGTTAGAAGTGGGAGGATAAAGGCAGTCGAATGGTACAACAATGGAGATGCAGAAACTTTCAAATTAAGGATGTTTGAATAGAATTCTTCTTGAATTTTATAGTAATATTCCACTAGACTCAGGGATACAGCTGACAATTTTAAAGCCAAATTCAGGGTCTAAAATAACATGACAGAGACAAAATCAGTTGCAACTTGATGAAAAATTTCCTCCATCCCCCTAAGACCAGTCTCAAATCCTCATTGTCAATTAGACCATGAACTCTTTAGCAACAAACCCAGCACTTTAATAGGAAAGGATATAACTTGCTTTGATATCTTTACACAGCCAGAGTGACCCAGAGTTACATCAGTGTAAACAAAAATCAGATTTATTGCTGTTTTAAGATTAGTGTAATTTACACAGTCCTCAACCAAGCTTTAAAAAGGGGGTTTGTTAAGAACAAATGATGTGGTGTGTTTTCAACATTGCTGCATGTAAATTCTACTCAAAGTGTATTTATTGATTTAAATAGTGCACCAGTGATTTAGTGCTTACCTAAAATGGCATTTTGTTTTAATTCACCACCCTGCTCACAGAAGTCTCCTCATTAGAAGCCCTGCTTCTCATAAGAGAAAAAGACTCCCAGGCACTTAAGCTGACCACATAAACATTATCTGAGCTGGAGAGAAGGAATTAGCTGCACTACCATCATGCCAAATCTAGTAATGTCTGCAAGTCTGTATATCCTTCTCTGTTCCAGGACAAAAGTCCAAGAGATAATGTGATTAGAGATTCCCATATACTGTAAACAGGCTGCTACAGCTGCTGGCACAAAGCACTTGTGGTTTCATAAAACTGCCTGGGAAAACCAGGCTGCTGAATTACTCCCAACAAATTTAAACGTTGACATTTGGGGTCTTCTTACCGGGCAGAGTCAGTCCTTGCAACCTCACTGCTGCCTGGTGCCAGAGGTGCCTCAGAGTGCTCAGAAGGTGGTGTATCAGCAGCTCCTGAACCCTTCCCTTGATGGGCAGATTCCTTCTGTTAATGTTGGAGCAGGTTATAAAACCAATTACACAGTTCAAAGGCAAATAGCTGCATCAATGCCTAATCAGCAGCCTATAATTATTGCTAAAAGCATGCCAGGGCTTTTGATTTACAGGACCTCCTCAGAAGCTTTTCTTTCATTTCTATCCATTGCAGGATGAAAACAGAGCAAGAGTCAGTAAAGAAAAGTGCAGTTCCCCATGAAATCAGGGTGCACAGTGGCACTGGAGAACCCACAGTGTGGCACCACCACTGCCAGCACAGCTGGTTTGTGTCCCTAACCCAGGTTTCATCCTGTGTTCAGTGTTCCAGTCCCCATTTTACTGAGGTATTTGGCAGATTCACAATCTCACCATAAAACCCTATGAGTGTTTTAGATCACTGGGAATTGGATGCCTAAGTATTGATAAAACCTGACTGTAGGATCAGCAGCCTGCTGATGTTGGTTTAACATATTTGTTTGCTTCCTCCTTTCAGCAGCCAAGGATTGTGAACACTGAGAACTCCCCACTGGAGCCCCAGCCCTTGCTGTCAGCCAAGTGACAGTCTTGACATGGAGCCACTTGTGGATGGGATTGATATTTCTATGTTTTCTTGCTCCTTAAACAACTTGAAGAAAAGTTATGTACTAACAGGAAAGAAACTGAGGAGTTACAAAAGAGGATTCCTGCTTTATTATTCCACCAGGAGAGACTGTCAGTAGGACTGTCTCGAGGTAGCACCTCAGACAACAAGGATCTAGATCTAAAATGATGACACAGGGTGCTTTTCTGGTTCATTTGTTCTCCTACCTGAAGTGTGAGTTTCCCAATTGCCTCTTCCATCTTTTTAACCTTTGCCACCAGCTCCCTGAGGTGCTCTATGAGGCAGCTTTGTTCCTCAGTCTCATTGTTCAACATCTGCCCTATTTTCCAAGACTCCTTGTTCTCATCCTCCTTCTGGCTCAGGTCTTTTAAGATCTCCTGCATTTGCTTCTGCTGGCTCTGATAAAATAGAAACGACGAGTGAGATCTTGGTTTTGTACACCATGATTATTTACATCATCCAAACAAATCTCCATTTAGGAATGGTAGGACAAGCTCCTGCCCTGCCAAACCCATTCCTTGGTGGGAGCACACTGGTTTCACCAGTGCTGTTCTAGGAGTTTGATTCAATTTGCAGCTCATTGATTCAGTAGCAGCTTTGCTACTCAGTGTAACAGAAAACAGAGCAAGCCTTGGACAAAGGTGAATTAATTTTTCATAAACTGGATGAAAGTCAAGATTTCAATGTGCTTTTTGTGAAATTAGCCCATGATCAGACTGTGTGACAGTGACATTAAAAGATGAGGGTACTGTGAGGTGACAGCTATGAGTTCAGGCAGCTTCACCAGTGAGTTTTGGTGGTTTTCTTTCACACTGACAAATCTAATACCTGTCAGACAGTTTGTTCTGTCAGGCCAACAAACTGCAAGGAAAGTACATCCTTGATATAAGGGATAAAACAGATCAACCATCCCTTCCCAAATAAACTTGCATCTTTCTGCAATAATTTTAGTGAGAATGCTCAGATCTGGCAAAAATGATAACTGTTATTTGGCTCTTCTAATCTGCTGCTCAGCACCCAAGCTCCTCACAGTGCCTGGTGTGAGAAGGGTGAATTCCTGCTCAGTTATAAACATGCCTTAGCTAAAACTTGTGCACAGAAGCAAGGAAATCCAAGTGGTTTGAAACTGGTGAGGAGCTGGATCAGGAAACACAGAACTAACCCTGCTAAGAACTGGCATAATCTCTAATATATATATATATTTACTATTTTAATTAGGGAAGGCTATTTAGAACCATGGCAGGACTAAAGAACCCTGCAATACCATGACAGCAGTCATTTATTTCTTTTTCAGCACCTAAAGTCTGTGGAAACTCTTGGTTTTGAAGGGGCCAAGCCCTCTCAGCTTTATCTGCTGCCAGTGAATGTGCACATGGTTTAGAACTCGTGTGGTTTTGGCTGTTTAACACAATAAATGAAAGCTGTGTTACAAACAAAGGAAATCTTGCAAAACTGCAGGCATTCTAAAGAAAAAAAAATAATCTACCAATGGAGCTGAAAGTAGAACAGACAATACAGTCCATCTCCATGGGTCAGGAATGAAGTTCTTCCTCTACCTACAAGACAAATCCTATTTCAATCCTTCTGCAAAATGTTTCTTCCAATCCTTGCAGCTTTGACTGCAACTGTCACACCTGGTGCTGTCTTGCAGCCTTTACATGACCTGACCCAAAATGCAGAAGGGCTTTAGCTGACTAGGAAACCTCTGGCTGTCACAGCTGGATTCATCAGGCTTCTGTATCCCCCAAGGTTGTCTGTGTCATTGAATAACATCATGTTTCACCACTTACAGAAAGAGGGCTGGGACCAACAGATAAAGTCAGGCCGTACCAGCAAGGCATCTATGAGCTCATCATCGTGTTTTCCTTTCTCCAGCAAGGTTACAACCTGTGCCTTCAGGATTTTCAGTTCACCACACAGGATTTTGTTCCTGGCTTTTGATGCATCGAGTTTTTTGTTCACTTCCTCGTGGCTGTTTTGGAGAGCGCGGTGTTCCCCGGCCAGTTTCTGCAGGGATGCAAACACACCACGGGACATGACAGTTATAACCCATCACCAGGCCCCAGCTGCTTTGGGGAGCAGAAAGAATCACACATTACCTGGTGGAATCTTAAAGAAATCTAAAAAATGGGACTGGCATATTGTATCACCCTTAAGGAAGTAGGAATTGTAAACGCTGCTGCTCGCCAGCATCAGAAAAGGGTCTGTCTGCTCAGGAATCTGAGTGGATTAGGTTGATTCTCAACTTTATTCTGTTCAAATGGAGAAGCCCAGAGCCACACAGATGGAGGAAGTGTGAGGGGGATCAGAGAATCAACCAGGTTGGAAAAGACCTCTGAGATCATGAGCCATGACCCAACCCATGACCCAACACCACCCTGTCACCCAAAAGACCTCTGAGATCATCCAGTCCAATCCATGACACAACATCACCCTGTCAACCAGCCCATGGCACTGATGCCACGTCCAGTCTGTCCTTAAACACCTCCAGGGATGGTGACTCCACCCCCTCCCTGGGCAGCCCATTCCAATGGCTGAGCACTCTCTCTGTAAAATATTTCTTCCTAATATCCAACCTAAACCTCCCCTAAGACCATGTCCTCTTTTCCTACTGCTGGTTCCTGGGAGAAGAGACGAACCCCCATCCAGCTCCCCCCTCCTGTCAGGGAGTTGTAGGGAGAGAGGAGGTCTCCCCTGAGCCTCCTCTTCTCGAGGCTGAACAATCCCAGCTCCCTCAGCCTCTCCTCACAGCACTTGTGCTCCAGTCCCTTCCCCAGCCTTGTTGCTCTTCCCTGGACCTGCTCCAGCCCCTCCATGTCCTTCCTGAGCTGAGGGCCCAGAACTGGACACAGCACTCCAGGGGTGGCCTCCCCAGCGCTGAGTCCAGGGGCAGAATCACTTCCCTGTTCCTGCTGCCACACTGTTCCTGAGCCAGGCCAGGATCCATTGGCCTTCTTGGCCACCTGGGCACACCTGAGCCCATGTTCAGCTTCCTGTTGATTAGAACCCTCAGGTCCCTCTCCTCCTGATCGCTCTCCAGCCACTCTGTGGTGCTGCCGGGGGTTGTTGTGGCCAAAGTGCAGGACCCGGCCCTTGGCCTTGTTAAACATCAGACCATTGGATTCAGCCCATTTATCCAGCCTGTCCAGGTCCCTCTGCAGAGCTCTCCTGCCCTCCAGCAGATGAAAACTCCCCCCCAGCTTGGTGTCATCTGCAAATTTGCTGATGGTGGACTCAATCCCCTCATCCAGATCATCAGTAAACAGGACTGGGTCCAGCAGTGATCCCTGGGGACACCACTAGTGACCAGATCCCAACTGGATGCAGCACCATTTCCCACCAGTTAAGAACTGGCCATCAGCCAGTTCCTAACCCAGCAGAGCTGTGGACTGCAGCTTTTCCAGGAGTGTGCCATGGGAGACAGTATCCAAGGCTTTGCTGAAGTCCAGGTAGACACATCCACAGCCTTCCCCTCATCCAACAGGAGGGTCACCTGGTCATAAAAGGAGATCAGGTTGGTCAGGCAGGACCTGCCCCTCCTAAATCCATTCTGGCTGGGTCTGATTCCCTGTCCATCCTACAGGTGCCGTGTGATGTTTGTTTCTAACACTGCAAGAAGAATGCACACTTGACCAAGGGCCGGAAGGACACTCTGGAATTTGGATGTAGCTCTAGCAGGGCTTGTCTGTGCAGTGTGGCAGAACTTCCTCCAGCAGATCAAGTGGGTTTGTGAGATGGTCTCTGGGTAGGGTGTAACACACCCTGTAAGGCAAATTATTACACAGCACACGCCCAAACAGGACCCTGTTGGTTCACAGGTTTTTTACCTCCAAAGCCTCTTTCTTTTCTTTCTCCAAATTGCGAAGCTTCAGCAAGTGCTTCTCCTGGGCTGACAACTTCCTTGGATCCTCAAGGGCCAGGAATTCCTCATCAATGTCCATCACTGATCTTCTGGTCTTGTTTTGACCCAGCTTACTCTCCAGCTCTCGAACCTAGGGGACAATAATGGCAACTCATCCAGGGGTCTGTCAGGAGCACAGGGGTCCAGCACCAAAGGGACACAACCAAAGGCAGCTCAGAGTGTATCCTCATATTAATTCCTGATGTTATTAACTACCATAGAGCAGTGTCTGGTCTTTCAAATTTAAATTTAGCTGCTAATAAAACATGCAGATTTTAGGGCATCTGTGCAGGAAGGAGATATGACACCAGACCTCTGGTTGACTTGGGACACGTGGGAGATCTGTGGCTTTTTGGAGCCACATGTGGAGGCCAGGCAGACACTCCAGAGCATCTGAAATGTGTGTAGGCAAGTGAACTCAGCCCCTGCTTGTCACCTACTCACTGCAGACTCCTTTTATAGTCAGCAGAAGGAATTGGGTACTGCCACAGCTCAGTTCCTCTGCCTGTTCTGGAGGTGTGATCCAAGATAAGATGGACCTGCCTCACTTTTGATCCAGTGACTGTATTTACAAGATCCCCACTGACTACAAAAGGGGCCTGAGGAGACTGTCTCAGAAAGAAGTCTCTGCTTTAGAGCAGAGAACAGTATGTACAGTCTTCAGATGAACCCCAGGCAGGGGGTAGAACAGAAGAAAATGTGATTTGATCAAGGGAAAGCAGAGGTTAACAACCCCAGTCAATCAGAGTGCAGAAATCACAGTTTGATGGCATATAATTAAATAGCAGAAAAGTAGGAAAATTATGTATCAAATTGCCTGAGAGAAGTTTTATTTAGATGCAGACAAAGCTGCCTCCTTGTCTCCAGCTGACATTTCAGCCCTTCAGAAGATTCAGGAGTTAAAGACTTTACTGAAGCTCCCTAAGGAACAACTTGAAAATCTTATCTGGCCTCAATTCTTCCCATCTGACTTTAGGCACTGAACAAAGGTGTCTAAGTCAGAGCACAGACACTGACAGGGCTCCTTCTGTTCTCAGTGGAGGGAAGCACCTTCAAAACACCCTGGGATTTTAACTCAGCTGCCACAGCTCTCCAGGGTCACTCAACTCACTCATTTCACACAGATGTGAAAGATTCCCAGTTAAATACCCAACCTTGCATGGTTGCAATAGAGTAATTACTGTAGATTTTAAGAATTAATGAAGAATTAACAGTACCTTTACCTTAAATTGAGGTGATATCAATACTTAGAAAGAGAATTCCAGCTTCCAGCTGAGGTGGCACCACCCAGAGTCTTCACTCACCTTGTTTTGGAGAACGAGGATCTGCTGGGCCCGCCCACGCCAGCTGCCAGAATTGGCCAAGAGACTTTGAATATTCACATCTTCCCCAATTTCATTTGCCAAGAGCTGTGAAAAAGGGGATTAACATCAACAGTGAGGCTTGAATAGAAGTGTTGGGGCTCTCTCTAGCAGTAAACACAAGCATTACTAACAGTTTTCAATATATGCTGTTATTTTTTATATAATGAATATTTAACCATAATTAAATAGGGCATTTATTTGCCTAAATTTGTCTAAATACACACCCTTGCCATCAGGAATTGAGCCAAATTCCCTTGCACAATTCTGACACAGCTAAACTTAGTATGGAGAGCATTTAAATTATTTATAAAAAGGTCAGCAGAGTTCTATTTTTAGGACCATACTCTCTACTCTGATCTGCATTGCAGGTCTCTTACACAAACTAAGGAAACCAGGGGAAACAGAGCACATAGAAACACTTAAATCCATCCTGAATCAAAGAGGGAAAGGTTATTCTGGATGTCACTCCAACAAACTATTTAAACACGTGCTTTATTTCCAGCAGTTTTTAATCCCATTGATTTCCATGGGACTGAAACCTGTATTAAAACCAAACACATAATTAAATGAGAATTTAAATGCATCCTGAAATGGTACCTTTTGGGTCATCTTCAGTTCCTGTCTGGAGGACTGGAGCTGGTTCCGATATTCCATGGCTTTAAAGTTGGCTGTGTTTAATTTTTCTTGCAGGGCTTTCACCTCTGGACTCTCAGCCTGTGAAGAGAAGAATGTACTCGGTAAGAACAGAATCCTCAGGGGGAAACTGAAGTGATTAAGAACCACACATTTATCAGGATCACAGAAATCTGTCCTTCCACACCCATTTCCTCCCTGATTTTTGGGGTATTCAGGAAGTATAAACTGAACATGGTCACAAAACTGGTGACAGGGACACATCCTTGTCCTAAGGAAAGGACTGCACTGAGTATCAGCTTCTGATTTCCTCTCTTCAGTTACAATTCATACCAAGTTTTCTTCCAGCATCTTCAGAGTTGATTCCTTGATTCCACCACCACCAAGGGAATGTATTTTTTCTACAGCTGCCTGTAGCTGGAAAAAAAAACCCCAAACATTGTTATTGTACAATGGATGCAGTGAAGAGCATCTCTCTATGGTGTGTTAACTAGTAAAAAATTAAAATATGGATGTTTATTAACTCTATAAAAAATAATTAATTTTCCCTTGTTTTTAAACACAGTCAGTAGGAAAGAATATTTTTTCCCTGGAATGCTTCCCAAAGAGTCATGGGTTATTTTATTGTGGAATAACTTCAACAAATGTCTCTGACTTGGTGAGATGGGATCAGATTTCAAGTATAGAGATTCCTGGGGCATTTTATTGCCATAGGTACATAAAATTAGTGTTTATATACACAAATGTAAATCCTGCCCAGCCCAGGATATTTCATAAAAAGCACATATTCTACTCACCAGAGGAATATAAAAGGAGAAATGACTACTTGATGCCCTACAGCTGAGATTTAATGGTGTTAAGGCTCTTTTTCTTTAGCTGATAGCTCTAAGGTAGCATTTTTTAGCCCATGAAGAATAAAGAATATGTCCCCTATTGCTCATCACAGCAAAGGAAGGCAGACATACAGCCCCTCCTGCCCCGAATCAAGCCCTGTGCTGAGGTTGCAAAGACTTCTTACTGCATGGGAGCATAGGAATTTGGAGCTGGAAAGGCCAGGAAGTGTTGCTTTAAAAGGGTTGGGACTTCATTCTTTGAGGTGGGTGGAAAAATCTCAATTATTTGCCTGAATAAAAGAACAGCTTTTTCATTAAAGCAGCATCTGGGGAAACTCAGAGCTCTAAAATCACCCCTTCTTATGAGTTAGGGCCACCCTTTCTATCCAGCTCATAAACTCCTGTAGTCAATGGACTGAGAATGAGGAATTCCAACTGGATTTGGCAGCTTTTGGCCCAAATTCTATGGAAGTTTTCTGCAAACATCCCTCTGCAGTCTTTGCTTACATGCAAAACCCCTTGCCAAGTGATTGCTCAGTGGCCACACCTTCCATTCTGTTTGGGGGAACATAATCATGTTAAAACACTCAGTTTTCATGCAAGCAAAGAGCTAAAAATACGTAAAATAACAGTGTTTTCTATCTATCACTCAACATTTTTGGTAAATACCTCCCACTGTCCAATATTGTTTTAATTTTACCCATCTTTTATATTTTCATATAGTTCTACTGAACAAAACCCACAAACTCAGCCAGTCACCACTACTTTAGAGGAGAGACACCCCAAAGTAGGTGGAGAAAATACAAACCATGGACCAGGGCACAGTTTCAGTAGAATTCACATTGTGGTTCACCTCACATGAGGCACATTATTGTATTTAGTTTTTATTTGGATTTTCCTGGTGTCTGGGGACAGATTTGTTCATATATAAAATGTCCATCTCTGCTTTGATAAATAATTATTGTTTCTTGAAAATTTTCTTTTTTCTTTGAGTTATATTTCCTTTCCTGAAATGTCTGTGGTACTTTCTTTTTGGGTCAAAATCTGGGATTATTTTATATATATTATATATATTCTATGTCCGAGAATATTTTAAATTTCTGTTTGAATAATGGTCATCACACCCCTGCAGTAGTGCATTAGAACCAAGTTGGTTTTCCTTTAAATTATTCATGACTTGCTCCACTCCTTGTGGGATTTTGTAGGTCCCAACCTACACCTGATGCTTCTCTGCCAACCTGCCAACTGTTTGACAAGACCCCTCTGACCAGAACACTCTGGATTTATGCAGGAGTTCTCCAAAATTTAATTCAATCTATGACTTCTTGATCTCTCAGGTAACTGGGGTAAAATTCAGATAGATGCATGACTTATGATAATAAGTGACTGTGAAAGATGGAGTCAAAATGCATCTGTCAGCATGATAAACATAATTGATCCATGTAACTGATGTCTTCTAAGAAAGCAAAGTTCATTAAAAAAAATTGAAAATTATAAAAAAATTCACCAATATTGTGTAAGGAAGAGGACAAAGTAAAGGACAAAGTAAAGATTGACATCAAGGCATCCAATTTTCATTTCAGCAGTCACTTGAGTAAAATTATTCCTGTGAAAGGTTGGCACATATAAAAAATCATAGTAAACCAGAAAAATCAATCTGCCTGAGCGAAGATTTGCTGTCTTACATGATCTAGTTTGTTGATGTCTCAGTTCTATAAATACTTGTGCCAGAAAACAGCTTTATTTATGTGGATGAATGAAGCTTAGAAGAATAGAGTACAAATTCCTGACTGGTATTAATGAGGTGGGAATCTAAGACATACTGGGGTGAAATTTGCTCCTCCTCACACACAAAAAAATAATCAGAAAAACCTTGTGCTTCAAATACAAATGAACATTTCTAATTGCTGTTTAACAAGTCTTTGGGTCATTATAATTTAGGGATATCCTTTCCTAGCCCCTCCTTCAGAGGAGCAAACAGCTGAGGGCACACCCTCCTCTCTCCTATCATGGACAGAAATGAGCAGAACCCAAAGTAAACACGGATATAAGAGCAAATTCAACACATGAACACGAGTCAAACCCATTTTCTATCCCAAACACTGGATTTCCATCTTTTAGGATGCAAAAAAGAGAACAAGAAAAACGCCTCACTTCTCTCTCCAGCTCCTTGACTTTGTGATTCAGCTGCTTCACTTTGGCTCTTTCACTCTCGGCCTCAGCAGTTATCTCACGGTTCTTTTTGGCCAATTCCACTATTTTGGTGGCTGCAACATCTCCAGCTAACCCAGAAGTCCCTGAAAAGGACACATAAAAGCAGAGGTCACGTCTTACAGGCAAGATTCAGAATAGATGATGCTTTTGTTCTCTGCCCAGAGCACAATGTACTTTTATTGTCCAATCCATTCCTCCCAGAGCTGTGCCAGGCACTCAAATGAACAAGAGAGGGAAGAGACATCAGTGATTCCAGCTGGAATGCTTGGGCCTTTCATTCAGCATCACACCAGGGCCAGCAAAGCCACATTTCACACTTCAGCAACAGTCACAGTGTCCCAAGGCCACAGCAGTGGCTGTGGCAACATCACCCCCTAGAAAGGGCGGAGGTGTTTTCTGCTCACTGCTGGGAAGGGCAGTCATGAACAGGATTTTTTGGAATATCACAGAAGAAGACAACACTCTCCTTTGCCTGGTTGTTTATTACAGGAGGAGTTGCTGAAACAGAGGTGTGAACATTTTCTAGACATCTGTCCCCAAAGGTCAGGCACAATATTACAGCTGGGTCCTGGAGAATGTCCAGGAAATTTCATTGTGCCTATTTATATGTCCCCTGTGATTATCCCTGGAGCCTGACTGTATTATTCCTTTAATTGCTCTCTTAAACACACACGTCATTCTCTCCCTCCTCACAGAGGCTCTGGGATCAGTGTCACAAATAAAGCAAACCCCAGCACTGGCTGTTTAGTGCCACTTGGCTTTCACATCACACAGGTGAAGGAAAGCTCTTGTGCAAAATCAATATAATTGCAAACAATGTCCACAGGAACCTCCAGATCAGCAATGAATGTGAGCCTGCAATGACAAATCCTTGGTGGGGCGTGTGAGGGCTGAACCTGGCTGCTGCCATTCCTTTTAACTCCTTCATCCTCCTTCAGTGCTCTGAAGAAATGACTTTTCTGCTGACATCTGGGAACATTATACCCAAGAAATGGGGTGAGATGAAGTAGGACAGATCACTCTTTACTGAATTCTGAGTCCCATGTAACTACAGAGACATTAAAGGGGCTACACAGAATATTGCTGAGAATAGAATATCACTACTAAAAACTTTGTAGAGAGCATGAATTTAGTTTTTTAAAAGCATTTGAAATGCTTTTTAAAAAGCATTTAAAAGCAACTTATTCTTTTTAAAACCATTTCCACTGTTCTTACTCCTTCATGTGATTTGTGCTCCCCCTCTCATCTAGGAGCGACTTTTACCTTAGTTTTCATGGCAAATAATGGCCTTTAAGGACCACAGTGAGTAGTAAACTTACCAAAGCCGGGCTGGGGCTTCATTGTGATGGTCTCCAAATTCATTGCACACACTTAACCAAAGCTTTTCATTCCCAAGCAATGTGGGGGAGCCTCTTGCCACAATGCAAATAAGGTTGGCATTAGTCAGCCAGAGAAGCTGCAACAGCACATCTGGCTCCTGGTCCTGACCAGGAATAGCTTATCATCTCTTCTACGGACCAACTACAGGGAGTTTTTAAGAATTAAGATGTAATTTAATGTTGTGAAGCTCTGTTTGTTGCTGGTTTCCCCCTTCTCAAGCAGCCTGGTCATCACTACTGTCCTGACCAACAGTGGCACCCAGTGGAGGAGGTGCAGCCTGCACAGTTCAGTTTTCCAAGGACACTCAAGCCACTTATAAGCTCGATTTTGAACCGTACATGTACCCTGTTCAGGCAAAAAAAAGGACCCTGAATAGGGAATTTAACTCTATGCAGCAGAGGAAGCTGCAACCCAGCTCATTGACATCAACAGAAAGTTTTCTGAAATATGATTTCTACAAAACATCACCTTTTTGGGCCAATAACAACAAGTTTTCAGATCTGTGGGGAACAGAGATCACTGTGTACCCTAAAAGAGCACCATATTTCTTTTAAGGGACATTTTGCTGCCATCAGCATCCAACAAAGGTGGTGAGAATACGAAGTTACTGTGTTTACCCGCCAAAGCCAACCTGTCCTCCTGGACTTTTTTCTGGAGTTGTTTTATTTCAAAATCTTTCTCTGTCACCAGTTTGTACAATCTGCAGTTCTCATCTCGGACCTCTCGAAGCTGATCCTGCAGCTGCTCGTTTCCAGCCTCGAGAAACCTGGGAAAAAAAAGAAGCCATAATGGCAAATCTCACTGTGATGTGCTTCAAATACTTCCAAAAATAAAGTAATGAACTGACTGTATGACAGATGAGCTGAGCTTATCAGGAGTGAGTTTACTGAATTAAGTAGAATATCCTAAAACAAGAACAAAAGCTGATGATCTGATCTATTTAGTTAGCTCCATCTTAAAAAGTTCTGCACTTTCTTGTGTAGTCTGGGGCAAAACATCACAGAACAGGTACATTTTCAGTCCTCTTGAGGTTACCAAGCAGTGTCATCTCAGTCTCACTCACCTGGTTCTTCAGAGGGAATCAGGCAGCTCAGCATTCAGCATGTGGGACATTCAGGTTTTATTTTCTATGCTTAACAAAGCCAACAGAATCCAACAGAGCATCGACTACAAAAGCTGCTCCTGGGGTCCTTTCTTTAATAATGAATGTTTTAGAGCAATTCATAAAAGACCAATTTCCTGTGTCCTCACCTGATTCTCTTGGAACCCCACCAGCACAGACTGGCATCAGTTTGTATTGTTAATGGTGCTTTTCAGAATTCATTTGGAAACACAGGATATCAAAAAAAAGCCTCTGAATGGGAAGAAACAGCCTTGCTTCTCCTATTCTTCAGTACAGTTGGTAACATTTAAGGGGTTCATCTCTCCAAGACATCCAGAGAATTAATAACTTTAAATCTCTTTGCTGCCCTTACGTGATGGGTCCTCCAAATATAAAATCTAGGAGCTGTGGCCTCAGGGGCTCAGCTCCATTGTGGGAATTCAGGATTATCAAATCTCCCTGACACAGGGTCCTTGAGAAAACTTGGGACTCAATTCAGTTACCCCCACACAGGTGCTATTTGGGCTCCCCACCTGCTCCAGGTCTCCTGTGCCCAATCTATGATTCCCATGTGGAAATCCCCAATGCTCTGCAGCATCTCAGGTATCATCAGACACCTAAATCAGCTGCATGAATTGACCCCTAGACTTCTATTATTTACAGTGTAACCCTGAACCTCTATAGTTTGGAGATTTGATTTGGATAAAGCTCAGTTGTTACAGTAAGTATGTGCAGACACAGCCACAGCCAGGCAAGATATCTCAATAATCACCTCAATCTTTTCTATTCCAAAGTTTTAGCAAGCCTTTTGCACCCACTGGACTCGAGAGCTTTCAAATGCACCCTCCAAATGCACTTGTTGGAATAAATGACCCCTTAAAGCACTGCCATAAACAGCACAGTCAGTCCAGGAGAGGATTCACAATCCGTAATTAAGAAATGCACTTCTGTTTCAAAGCTTCAAATCAAAGGGAGATCAAAGGCAGCTGTTTACAAAGGAGAAGAAAGCAGGCAGCAATGTGAGCTGAGAAATGGCACAACTAAGTTATTCCCACATGTACCACTCACAGAAGCGAGCAACAGAACTCAGATCCAATTAGAGACACGGGGACAAAGGGATTTTTAACAGTTATGGGATTAACATGAAAGGAGAGTTCTAAGCTCTTAACACACCTGATCAGGGATGTCCTCCTCAGAGCTGGCTTCCAAGTCTTGAGGAAAAGCACAGAAATCCCAACTGCACACTGAGGTGGAGTCTCCTCTGAGAAACTTCCCACCCCAGAAACTTCCCAGAATGACCCTACATGTTACAGAGGAGGCAGCAGATTCCACCCAAGTGCCTCAGCTGCAGAAAATCAGCCAAAAGAAACAGGCTGCAAAAGGTGACCCTTTTCACTTAGTTCAAGGAAACAGAGGCAGGTGAAGCTTGTGAGCAGGAATTCAGGTGATTTCCCAACTTGTGTGCACAGTTTAGGCAAAAAAAATAAATTATCCTGAATAAGGAATTTAACTTTTGTTAAACTCTGTCTTTCCCAACTCTTGTTACAGATTCTCCATGTGATGGGGAGTGTCACTTAAGCACACTTAAAAGCACCAAACAGAGCAGGGAGGGAAAAGTTACAGAGAGAACAAATCAGAAGGGAAGAACTGTCAGCTAAACACTCCCTTAAACAAGATTTGGGAGTAGGATGGGAGGAAGGAAAAATGAACTCCCAAGGCTCAGAGAGAGGGAGACTTCTGAGGGGAGAATGTTTTCTAAGTGCTGCTATAAACAAGACTGACAGGCCAAAATCACTGCCACTGCAGCCCATATGGAGTCCTGCTCCTCTGGAACGAGTTTCTAACGTGTTCTCATGGGAATAGTGCAAAGCACATCCTGGTGAATCCCATCCAGAAGCAAATCCTGTCTGGATTTGATACACTCATAACCACTCTTCTGCTAAATGCTGATGTACATAAGCAAAGGGCAATACAGATAAATCTGCTGTGTCAAATGGGGACTTTTAACAGCCAGTGCCACTGAAACAGAGGTAAATGATAACTCTGGGATTACTCAGGCTCAAACTACTGACCTGTAAATAGCAGAGAACTGCTGGGACTCTCCTGTATTCTGCACCTCAGAGGATGCACGTTGCACAGGATGTGATGTGGGAGCACCCAAACCCCTTTCCTTCACCAGACAAACATCTGAACTGTGGGAATCAGTCTCCCAAAAATCTTTAAAAAAAAATCAGATCTCCATCATAATCTTCTAAAGAGTATCAGGACAAAATGTTGAAGGGAAGAGGTCAGCTGGTAGAAGTCAGATCAGGAGCACAACTTGGCAAATCAGACAGCCCTGCTGAGGGACCAGTGTGTGAAGAAGGCAATGATGCAATGGTGAGAACATTAATTTCTGGAAGCTCAGCTCCCTGTTTCCACTCAGATTTCCTTTGCAGCACGAACAACACATTCCCAGAAGCACCTGAAAGGTTCAGTGGTTCAATCCTGGGTTCCCTCCACCTTCACAGCAGCTCTACTGCAGCACTTGGGTGCTCAAGGAAGCAACTTTGAGAAACCAGCTAAGCAGGGTAACACAGAGGGAAAATCAGCATTTAGGAACTAAAAACCTTAGTTAGTGGCTGGATAAACCTTGGGAGAGGTGCCCTTCCCCAGGCTGGATTCTGGGAGAGGGAACTCTCCTAACTGGTTTTCCACCCAGGAGTTGCTGGTTTTGGCAGAGCTTCCAGCTCTTCTTTCCTGCCCCTCTACCACAGCCCATCACCCCACTGTGGTGCCAACAGAACAGTCTGTGAGGCTAAAGCTGTAAATTAAGTCACTGAAATTACTTGAGATAAAAGTACCATTGCCCCAGAAAGTGAATCCAGTTTCTAGCAAACAGCTGGCTCAGTATGGAGCAGAAGCAGGAATTTCTTCAGCTGGCTTCACCACTAACACAGAGCAAATCCCTGAATAGTAAACACTGCAGACATCTCTGGGATGTGTCCAACTTCAGACCTGTTCTAGTTAGTGAAAGGGTCAGAAGGAAAGGCTGATGATACCCTGGGAGGAAGAGAGATGATCTGAGCAGGGTTTTCAGATCTCTGCTTCAGTAAATTGAATTATGTACTCAGCTCAAAAAAACCCCAACACCCAAGATTAAGGGAGATCCACACCAGAATGTCCAGTGTCCTGGGAATCTCGTGATCCTCCAAATCAGGATATATTGCAAAGATAGCCTGGAGAACACTTTTTTTCACAGCAGACCTTTGGCTTACTCCCATTTGCTGCTTTGCCTACATCCATCTTTGGAAATTCCTCATGCAGGGAACCTGTTTGCTTAAAGGTTAGGCAGGAACTAACCAACAGTGCAGAGGGTGTCAGCGACCCCAAATGACTGGATTTTGTCAGACAGAACCTGGCTGCCCCTCACATGTCACCCTCACCCCCTCTGTCCTTGCACCCTTCATTTGTGAAACACTGATTATAAGTGACAATAAATAATCACAATGCCCTGAGGGTAAACATGGTAGGGACAAGGAGAGTCTTCTCAGAAGCCCAAGATGTGAAGGCAGAAAGTGCCCTGTCAACTTAATAATAATGAGTTTCATAAGATCATGAGCCAAACATACTTCTGTGGCTTCCTGAAGGAATGGTCCTGCTACACCTTTACCTGTTGCTGCCATCTTCATTTACAAGTTGTCCTACTTCAAACAGGTTTAGATCATCTGGGGTTCCTAAAGTCTCCCCTGTGTTGCCATTATCCTTCTGACTGTTCTGCTTTTCCTTCTTCCTCTCCATCACATTTTGCAGCCGCCTCTGCTGTTGCTTCTGATAAGCCTTAAACTGGCTTTTAAAATCTTGGTTCACTTTTATGTCTGACTCCATTGTTTACTAAAAGCATAACGAAATAAAAAGTGACAGAGAGCAGAGATCAGCATTGCTTTGAAAAACATCCTCTTCTGGCAGCTGCTTTGCAGCTTTTCCTCACTGACCTCTGCAGAGTCTCCCACCACCTCCTCCTCTCCAGCCCCACGGCCCTGCTTCAAGCACCTTTCTCCTTAAATGGCTTTTAAACAGGCAGGTCTTTTTCACTCCAAAATTCAGTGCTTTAAAATGTTCTTAAGCAGATCTGTTTGAATAAATATTTTTACAGAAGAGCAGGTTGGGGCCAAATCCAAGCGAGTGTGGCAACGTGGCTAAAAGGAACATGGACTGTTTGGGGTCATCCACCCCTCCTTGACTAAAGGGCTTCCCATATTCAGGAAAGGTGCAAATCCCCCCATTTTTGGGTGTGTTTTTTGCTCCCTTTAGGCACTAGCCACCAAGACTGTGGTTTACACCTTTCCCCAAAATTTCTAAGCACTGAGTGATAACATTAAAGTGATAATATTGCTCCTCAAAGTTTTCCTTAGGATGACTAAACACAACAAGCTTTCTGAGGTATTCCAGCCCCTTCTCCTTCTGTTTGACATTTGCTGCCAGTAAAAAAAACCCTTGTGCACCTTTGATCTGGGAAAACCAATCCCTTAATACTTCCAAAGGCACACCCTGCACTGACTAATTAATGCACTGATTAATTGCCCAAATGCACCCCTGTGCTTGTGTGTATCTTATGGGCTGAGACCCACTGGAGAAGGTGCACTAAGGACTGACAAGTGCAAAGAGCAGAGTCCAGTGCCTCTGCACAGCCCACAGGGCTCTGGGTATGGGGGCTTGAAGAACTGTACAAACATTGATTGGAAAATCGATTTTAATTGATTAAGGTCGGTTCTGTGATTTGGAAAAAGCCTATGGAGATAAGGAGTCCATTTACTTAAGGACACTGCATATGAAATTTAGACAGCCTTTCTGGTTTCAGTGTCCTTTTGGTTTTTTGTGGTTTTTTTTTAACTTTACAATTATATTAGACCTCATTAAATTTGATAGATTTAGCCACTGACTTTATAGATATTAAAGATAAACAACAACATCTTCAACCAGTAGTTGTCTCTGTTCTGAAAATATCCTAGAATTCTTAGCAGAGTAGCTATTTTAGACCTTAAATCATCTTTACAATTATTCTCAGAAATTTCTTTTACCACTTGCACTACATTATTAATTAATTGATTAATTAATGCATTATCTGTAGGCCAGAAGTGTGCAGAGTACTCAAGGTGCAGCTATTTCACACAACACTGTGGTGGAAAAGCTCCCTAAGATCACTGAGCCCAACCATTAATCCAGCACCATCCTTGAGTTCACCACTAAACCATGTCCCCAAGTGACATTTCCACGTGTTTTTTGAACACTTCCAGGGATGGTGATTCCACCACTTGCCTGGGTAGACTGTTCCAATGCCTCTTTTGGTGAAGAAATATTCCCTAATATCCAATCTAAACCTCCCCTGGTGCACATTCAGGCCGTTTCTTCTTTATCTGATGGTTTGGGAGCAACCTTTACCCTTCCTACCTGGATACCGACTCCAAGCCTGGCACAGAGGGATCTGCTGTGCAGAGAGCAGGCTTCCCTCTCCTCACAGAATCCCGGAATAGCTGGGGTTTGAAGGGACCTCTGGAGATCATCCAGTGCAACCTCCTCCTAAAACAGGGTCACCTGGAGCAGGTGATACAGGAACGCGCCCAGGTGGGACTGGGATGTCTCCAGAGACTCCACGCCCTCCCTGGGCAGCTGTTCCAGCGCTCTGCCACCCTCCGCGTAAAGTTCCTCCTCGTTTTGAGGCGGAACTTCTCGTGGTTCAGTTTATAAATCGCAATTGTAACCTTACAATTGTAACTGTGACCGCCCCGCCTCGCCCTGTGACCTGGCAGGACCTGGCAGCGCCGCGCTGCCCCCTCGCCCCAGGCCGGCTACCCCCTCAGCACCCCCCACCCCGCCCCCGTCCTACCCGAACGCCCCCGAGGGCACGCGAGAGCCCTCCTGTGTCTCCCCTTTCCCTCCTGGGCAGCGCCAGGACCGGGGATGCGGCTCCGGATCCGCGGCCGGTCCCGGTCCCGTCCCGATCCCGGCCTGACGCGGTTCCCATGGCAACGGGAAGGGTTGCGCGCATGCGCCCGTCCCCTCAGCGCGGCCGCCATGATGGTGCCGCCATGATGGTCCCGCCATGCCGGTCCCTCCCCGCTCCCCTCCCGTCACCGCCATCCCGATGTCGCAGTTCCCGTAATTCCCGCACCAGTCCCGGCCCCTCGGCGTGACGGGAAAAGGGATCCGCTCCTTCTCCCGCCCCGCGGTGGGGAGGAGGGCGGCAGGAACAGGAAAAGGCGTCAGCGCGAACCCGGCGTCCTTCCCGTCTCCATCCGTGTGGGAGCAGTCAAGGGCAGCAGGACTGTAGGAAATGGGAATCAAGGACACCACCGGCTGGGAATGTTCTTTCCAGGAGCGCTGCACTCCCTCAGGTCATTTTTATACAGGTAGAGCAGCTCACGCCATCCCTCTAGAACGGGATGAATGTTCCCCCCAACAAATCCATAGGCAAACACTTGTTATCGCCAGGGCTCACTTTTATTCGTATTTAGCCTCCCACTGCTCTGTACAACATGTCACGGACAGGTGCAGTTTGTACCTTGTGCTATTTCTTACAGAGACAGCTGTAACATCTAATACTGCCACTGTGGAATGTAAGCTAGCAGGAGAAAATGAGGTTTTTTTTACAAATTGGCTTTTATTTTTGTGACTGCTGTTGGAGGCACAAGGGGGTTGAGTGTAAAATAACTTGCAGGGAAGGGTTTTAACACCTCAGAGGTGGTGAGGGGGGCTTTTCAGATTTAAATGTTTTAAATTTTCTATGGGCAACAACACTGCAGAAACCAGAGCTGGATCGAACACTTTAAAAGCATTAGGACACCAAATCAAGGCTTAGTTTTCACAATATGTATTTTAAATGTTACATTTAGATGTTATTCAGAAGAACACTGTAAATAAAGTTACAAAATATAGTAATCCCAGGGTCTGATATAGCAAAAATAGGGAGCCCGTGTCTTCGTTAACAATGAATAAATATAACATTTAAATAGCTGCGACATACCAAGTACTTATGCCTTAAATAAAAAAAATAGGTGTTTATATATCTCTCTCAATATTTTAGAAGTCATTTAGTGCTACTGGAAGCTTCTAAGTTACAAAGTTGGAGGCAGAGGATAAAAAATGACAGCAGGGCACTCCTGACACTCTCTGACAGAAGCCAATTCAGACTTTGTGGTTTTGGGCAACAACAGCCAAAGAAGTCACCAATTTTAGGATTGAGCTGAAGGGTAAGATAAAGGGATTGTACTCCACTATATCCCCTAAAAACTGGGATGTGGTGGTGTCAATCAGAGAGAACCAGACCCCAATACCCACTCCCCCAGTGCACAGTCATTTAAGCCTCCAGCTTCAGCACAGTGTACCATACACAAGTAGAACAATTCTCTAATGCCATGTATAATTTTCTTTTTGCTCAAGAAACCCTTGGTATGAGGTTTGGAGCTGCAGTGCACAGGCCACCACCAGGACAGAGCCTTCAGACAAACTCTCCATTATTCCTTGGGCTTCACCACATATTCCCGGAACATGGAATACAGCACACCTGCAAGAGAGGAACAAAAGCACAGTTGGAGAGCTGGGTGAAACAGGAAACAATGGGGTTAAAAAGCTGGACAGAAAGAGGGATTCTCAGCAGGAGAAATAATGTTTCCCTTCCTCTTCTGCTGCATTTTTCTAATAGCAGTGATGGCTACAAAGCTCTTCATGTACAGAGAACCTGGCTGTGAAAATATACTGTGTATCAAAATGCTGATCCCAACCCAACTCTGGTTTGCTTTGCAGCCAAAGTGGAGCCTTCCTGTTGTACCTCCTGGGAATACAGCAGGAGAAGCAGTGTCTGATGGGACACACAATATATACATGTACACAGCTGCAAGGCTTAGGTGAGACCTGGGATGTACAAATCACTCAGGACGTTCAGGGACACAATTCCAGTCCTGAAAATATATACATATATATAGAGAGAGAGATAGATACACATACTAGGTATGTAATATATATATAATATCACAGGCCATGCAAGCTGAGTTTCCAATGCATTAAATTCAGAAACAGCAAGAGGGGAAAATACTCATGCCAGGTAAGTGGGTTTTTTCTTTGCCTCTAATTTCAGAAGCTACACAAGCTGATTTTCTAATGCATTAAATTCAGAAACAGCAACAGGGGAAAATATTAATGCCAGATAAGTGGTTTTTTTTCTTTGCCTCTCATTTCCACATTTGCAGAACTTCACTTGCCACATCCAGAAGTATTCAAAACTCCTCCTCTCAAGGTCAGTGCAGTTTAACATTCAATACTTGTCCTTAAACATCAGATAACTCCAGAAGGGCTGAGCAAACACCAGGAACGAGCACAAACATCCTGAAATAAATGTTCTGGATACTCCCACCCCGAGGACATGTCACACACACTGTGTTATCCAAGAGGCTCTCCGTGGTTTGCCCCTTCCCAGGCCAGCTCCCGTTCCACACGTACCACACGTTATGGCTCCCACGACGAAGCCCTGGGCTGCCACTCGCATGTGGATCAGGTGAAGTGACATTTTCATGTCACCTCTGTGCTTCAGCCTGTACAGCCCATATCCAACCACGGCAGCAAATCCAGCCATCCCTGCAAGGCAAGGAGAGCATCCTGCTGAGGGGAGATCCAGGGCATCCAGAGGAGTGAGGGGACCCACCTAAACAAAATATCCTGGGAATCATAGAATCCTTTAGGTTGGAAGAGACCATTTTAATGTCATCGAGTCCAACTGTTCCCCAGCACTAAACCAAGTCCCCAAGTGCCACATCCACACGGCTTTTAAATGGCTTTTAAATCCCTCCACCACTGCCCTGGGCACCCTGTGCCAGCGCTTGACAACCCTTTTTGTGAAGAAATTTTTTCTAACATCCAGTCTAAACCTCCCCTGGCACAACTTGAGCCTCTCATCCTAAAATAAGCATGTTTCCCTCTGGTTTTGTGTGTGTAGGGGCAAGTCCTGGCCCACCTCCTGTTTCCACTCCAGTGCTACCTCATTCAATGCACAAGTCAGTGCAGGGAAGAGCAAGAGATTTCCACCAGCATTAAAATGTCAAGAGAGCAGGTCAAAGTGGCAGAATTCCTTGGATATTTTTCAGACAGAGCTGGGGCTCCTTGCACCCCCTTTCCTGGATGGAAGCTCGCACCCAGCAATCCCACTCAGCTGCTGCTGGACCCTCAGCGTGGGATGCTCCCTGACGTACCCACCCGCCTGCTGAGGCTGCTATTTTGGGTGTTGTCACATTTGGCCAGGTGCCACCGGGACAGGACAAGTCACATGCTGCTGTCCCCGAGCTCTGAGGAGGGAGGCTCAGCAAGGGCCCTTTCCCAGGGACAGAGTTCACTGACAGTCCTACAAGAGAGCAAACAGCGCCGGCTTTGCCAGCTCCAACCACTGCACCCCGATGCTCTCACAGAATGCACAAACTTCTCCAATTCCATCCATTTCATTCCATTTTTAGGACAATTATT